GTTAAGAGGAATGAGCAAAATTAAATTGTCTGTAATCCGCCATGCAGAAGGAATGTCATCAGCTTTATTTCCATGAGATTAAGTATTCACTAAGTAATTTTGTGTACTATGGTATACCCACAGAGAAACAATATGGTTTTGGTTGTGTGTTGGTTTTTTTTTCTCCTGTTTTTCTTTTTTTGTTGTTGGTTGGTTGGTTGGTTGGTTTGGGCGGGTTTTTTGTTGTTTTGTTTTTGTTTGGTTTTGTTTTTGTTTGGATAAGTCTATCGAAAATCTCCCCATGATTTGCTAGAAGATGATACACTACCCTGAGTTTTGCTCTCATTCGAAATCCTGAAAATCACCCTTTCACATGAATCACTCTGAGCATACCACAGGGTTCACATTAATTTCTGACTATTCAGTTTATATTTAAAGTTTGGTGGGGTTTAGGGGATTTTTTTTTTTTTGATTGGTTGGTTTTTTGTTTGGTTGGTTTTTGGTGGGTTTTTTTTTGTTGTTGTTGTCGTCATTTGTTTTGGTTATAATTTTGGGGGGCTTTTTTTAATAATTTAAACAAGAAAAAAATTCCCACGGGATTAATCCCACCCCATGTTGTCTACATCTCACTTTGTATATGCCAGAATGTTTGCAAGGAGTCTGTTGCCCTTGGAACATATCCTTTAAATTCTGATTTCGAGAGTCTACTCCATGTAATGTGATCATCCATGTCTGAAATCTTAGTCTCCTTTACTCCTAAGAGTAGTTGCTACTTTACTACACTCTTAAGTGGTGCTTTCCAGCAGGACTCTCACCTTCCAGATCAATATCAGCATACAAAGACGGTCAGCTAATACTTTGTATCTCTTGTTTCTTACAAATCTCCAGCGTGCATTGGGAAATTATGTGGGTGCCTCATTTTCAGAGGAAATTCCATAGAAATTATATTGAAGTTTGAGCTGATATAGTATTTTTGCTACTGTTTCTTGCATAGGTAATGGAAGGTTCTAAACCCCTGACCTCCTCAAGGGTTCAAATCATCATCTCTGGATTTTCAGTCAACACTTGCTTATTTCTCTATAGAGACAGCAAGCATTACTTCAAATTATTCCATGTATTTGCTCATTGTTTTGTTTCACATGCCTTACAGTGATTATATGGCACTAGTATGGATGGGCAGTGGTACACCAAAGAATTGCCATGCTTAGGGAATATAGTTTACTCTTTTATAGAAGCATGAAAATGAAATTGTACTTTTATTTATGACTACGAATGTACTCTTATTTATGGCTGCACGTTGCACATGAAACATGTAATGTTTCATATGTAGCACTATAATCATTGTAGTGAACACTGAACTGGAAATCATAATTGAATGCTATGACATTTCATTTTTCAGCCTACAAGAAATTTGTGCTTGCAACTACCATTTCATAAATGGCAGGTAATCTCCTAGTATTTTGTAGATCTTTACCTTCAGCAATCACTATGGCATTAAAGTAACCATTTTGTTGTAAAAGGCCAATTTAAGTCCAATTATTCGGTATTCTTCAGTCTTTAATAATACCATAATGTTTATACCATTATTGTGAAAAGCAGCAGGGTTACAATAACAGAAGCCATCAGATGTTACCTTTTTAAGGGAGTGGGCATGTGCTCTTCAGAAAATTCTTTACTGCAGAAAGCTTTTGCAGAGACAGGATTCTTTTTCAGCCCGTTCACACCTATTTAAAATATCAGGACAGTGTCATTAGCGTGTAAAGGTCAGAAGGCTCTGTGGAAGGTCTCAAAGCATTTGTTCATGCCTCATTAGATGTAGTGGTCTCTAAGGGCGCTGGGATTCTACCAAGGGTTGTTCCTAGAGATCAGAGGAATAATCTGTTTTGTTATTTTTTCCTTTTTTTTTTTTTTTAAATAAATGAGAGTGTAATGCTTCAAATTTGTACTCCTAATATATTTTCAAAATACAGCTTCAAAACTGGAAGCAAATAAATTACATTTTCCTTAATTTTTAATTAGCTGAAAGTCATCACTGCAAATTGTGTCTTCCATTACAAAATAAAATAGTCAACTGCCAGGCCTGAAATAATTAAGCAATATATTATAATTAAGCAATTTAATTTTGATTTAATTATGATATATCATGCAACTTGTCTTCTGATTTAACTGACATTCATTGACAAAATGCTATAATATAAACCAGCACTAATGTTTAAAGCTGATGGCTCTGCATGTTTTGCTTCATAGTATTTGGCATTCATCAGAGCATATGGAAAAAGTCTTCTAGTCTAGGGGAGCTAGCATTTTATTTCATACTACCCAAATTATGCTCTAGATGTTTTTCCCGATCGTTATTTTGGGAGGCAAGTGGGAAAGTCTGCAGATACCAAACTTCAGCCAGAGTTTATGGATATTAACTGGAATCTTTCCATCGATTTCTGTCTGCTTCAAATAGTGAACTGCTCCCATGTTGTTACTACAGGCAAATAGATAAGACTGCATGCTTATGAAATATTTATGGAGCTGCATCATATACATATTCTGTGTCAACATGAACATGATTTTATATTAGGCTAGAGATCGTGAGGGCAAAGGCAGAAGTGATGAGCAGGCAGGGAATACTGCTTCATTCAGTGCTGCATCAATAAAATTGCTGCAAAATATCCATTAAACAGCTTCCTCGGAGCAAGGGCACCCCCCTATTTAGTTAAAATCTCTTTCATTGTATGACAGTATTAGAGAATGGCTTGTATTCCATACTATGTCTGCAAACCCCTGTTTTAATTGCAAGAATGGTGAGGGTGATATAAAAAGATGCATTCTGCCTGCAGTCAGGTCTGTGTCTGCAGGTCCTCATGACTGTGGGCTCATGGAAGTAAAGGTGAAGGACAAAAAGTCAATTCTTTTCTTGATTTAGTGATTTGAGTACTCTCAGCAACATCCATGAAAACAGTCACAAGGCATGAAAGCTTTCAATATGATTCATCATATTGCATGAAGTCAGACACTCTTATGCCCCTTTAATTTTGATGTGTTGCCTTTTTCTCCTTTGGTGATGTTTAAATTTCTCAGCAAAAGATCAAAGGCCAAATGTTTATGTCTGGGCTGAGAGCAATTGTACACTCAGAACAGTAATGAATATTTGTTATCTCTCAAACCCTTTCACCCTCTGGTTTTCTGAAGAAAAACAGAATGATTATTCAGAGCAGTGATACTTAGGATGCTGCAGAATATCAGAACAATGTGTTCAGAAACAATATATACATTTCAGCCAACCTTCTTTTGCTAGCAGAATCACTTTGTGCATGTCACATCATCTCACCTTCACCCCACTGGCCCGAAACTCTTTGCTTTGTAATTGTGGTATGTTGACCCTGGCTGGACACCAGGCACCCAAGAAAGGCTCACTCCTCCTCAAGTGGACACAGAAGATTAAATGTAACTAAAAACTTATGAGTCAAGATACAGGCAGGGAGAGATCGCTAATTAGCATCATGGGCAAAACAGGTTCAACTAGGGGAAATTAGCGTAATTTATTGCCAAACAGATCAGAGTAGAATAATGAGAAATAAAACAAATTTTAAAAACACCTTCACCCCTTCCTCCCTTCTTCCTGGGCTTAACTTTACTCCCAATTTTCTCTGTCTCCTCTCCACCAGCAGAGAGGGTATGGGGAATGGGAGTTGTGATCAGTTCATCGTACATGGTCTCTGCTGCTCCTTCCTCCTCAGGGGAGGACTCCTCACACTCTTCCACTGTTCCAGCTTGGGGTCCTCCCCAGGCTGCAGGTGGACATTGGCTTCACTGTGGGCATCCATGGGCTGCAAGAGGAGATTCACTCCACTGTGGACCTCCATGAGCTGCAGGGGCACAGCCTGCCTCACCAGCACCACGGGCTGCAGGGGAATCTGCTCTGGCACCTGCAGCTCCTCCTTCCCTCCTTCTCTACTGACCTGGCTGTCTGCAGAGCTGTCGGTCTCACATATTCTCCTTCCTCTCTCCCAGTTGCAATTGCTGTCATGCACGTTTTCCCACTACCACCACCACCACCATCACTTACTGATGGGCTCAGCCTTGGCCAGCAGCAGCTTCATCTTGTAGCCAGCTGGCACTGGCCCGTTTGGACCATTGCGAAGCTTCTGGCCCTGTACCCAACCACTGCACAAACCTTTCCATGGAAACCTGTTAGAGTAATTTGCATTCAAGGTTTTGATAAATGCCCTTTAAACAACATGAAATTAAAAATATGCTGATGTAGGATTATGATTGTGACAGCTTCTCAGGTATTTAAATATGGCTGCATTTAGATACCCTACAGATGTCATAGTTTCATGAATACACTGAGACATCTGAATAATTTAAGAGAATATTGTCAGTAGCAAATGTCACACAAAGTAACTGCAGGGAAAATTGCCTTCAATAAGTGTAGATAAAAATGGATGGAAGCCAATTTCTGTTTAATATACAACTTAGTTAAATAGGAAACAATAGGGTTTTACTTTGAGAAGAAATCTTGAACTGTTTTTATTATAACTTTATCACTTTATTTATCTTATAAAGAAATTTCGGCTATGATCCACACCTCTGTAGCACTCACAGAAAAATAATTCTGTAAATACGCTGTGAAATTTGCACGTAGGAAGTGGTTATTACCCAATTTGCTTACACTTTCAGGCTTGAAGGGGAAAATGTAAATCTGCATGAGAGCTTTACAGTAATTTTGAAGTTTCAAATTCAGCAGTTCAAAATGCAGCACCATTGGAAAAGAACTCAAAGAAATAAAATTATCTTGGCTGAAATTAACCCTGCGAAAGACTTCATGTCTTTTCTAATAAGTATTTTATGAAGAACATGAAGCAATATGCTGGTACAGTTGTATTTACCCAGTAAGCATGAGCACCAAGTGATATTCTGCCTATTTAGTCATTTGTTGATGACAGATCCATTCCAGTGACTTTATTTTTTTTCTCTTTTTTTCTTTCTTTTTTTTTTTTTTTTTGTTTATTTATTTATTCCAACAGCTTACCCAGGGGTTGCAATGGTGAGTGAAAGTCATCATGAGGCCCTGGCAGCACCGCCAGCTACCACAGTAGCAGCACCTCCTCCAAGCAATGTCACTGAGCCAGCTAGTCCCGGAGGAGGGGGAGGAAAAGAAGATGCATTTTCTAAGTTAAAAGAGAAGTTCATGAATGAACTGAACAAAATTCCACGTAAGTAAAACTTGATTGATTAAAAAGCTTGTGTTAGCAGATTAGATTTAGTTTGAGATTTTCTTCTTTGTCAATTCTTTGGACAGCATGCTAAATGTTTTCTAGTCAAAACTAGAAAAATCAGAAGGCAAACCTGGTTTAGTAAGCTACTCAGAATTAGGTGGAGAACAGAAAGGGTCAAACTCATACAATCTGAGTCAATTCTTGATATGTCATTGTTTTGGTAAGTTTTACTGATGATTTGTTGCTGAATCATCAAAACTGGAATGGCAGAACTTCACAGTGGCCATGGGAACAATAAGTAAATATTTCCTAACTTTGGGTTTCATGTTTATGACAAATGTGTGTGGGCGTATTATCTTATAGCAAAATTTGGCCAGAACTCAAAAATACTGGGAAAATAAGGGAACTGTATATCTTTGGGGATTAGAAAATGTGAAAGTGTGAAAATGTCTTTTAAGCAAGGAAATAGCTCTAATACATCAGTAATATATGAAGATAGCCATGTTTTTCCCACTCAGAATTCTGAATTCTGTTAGATCAACCATAATATTGTTTGCATGAGTTCCTTCACTATTCAGAACAGTTTAAAAGTATCAATATATATTTCTGTGAAATCAATAGGGTTAAAGTCAGCAGGGTTCTTTTGGTCTGTAATAGAAAGTATTGATTTAAAGTTGAATCCTCCATTTGTTCACATATATAAAAGAAATAAGCATTAGCGTTTTGCTCTTGTCTATGATAATTCTAAGGTTCTTAAATCTGTTTGGTATGCATTAGTATGCATACACTGGTATTAAATATACAACTAATTCAACATTGACAGTGTTGTTTCATCTAATAAAGAAAAAACCTTTTTGTTGCTGACAGAAAAATTACCTAATGATGCAAGCAGATAATTTTGCCACTTTTGTAGACATGAAGGTGAAGGCTGTGTGTGCGTGTCTGGTTTAACAGCAGGCATTACAGAGTCATTCAGTCTTTAATAGTTTTTACATCAGAAGAATAAGGAAATGTAAAATATTTTCAGGGAAGTATTTTAACATATGTAAGGGCTTTCATTTTTAGAAGGCTATAATTTGTGTAACGAAATGTTGTGTGACTGATTAAAGACACATAAGAAATTAAATTAGAATATTAATCCATTTTTTTAGTCTCTGAAATGGATCTTGGCAATCTGGCAGGTGCGGTTTTTGCAAAACTGAGAGCAAACAGCTTTGCTCTGTCACTCGAAATTCTCACTTGCAAGAATAGAGGTGTTAGAGTTGTAAGAAGTCCATATGTCATTAGATAGGTAATCTGCACAGTCCAGTGCAGACCGAACTGAAATGATATTGCACGGTGATACCATGGGAAAAACAAAACCACTAGAAGAAAAAATAATGGAAAAAAAAAAAAAAAGACCCTGAGGGACAAAGAGCGCTTGAAACACTGTCTTTTATTTTTTATCTCACCATGCTATGTAAATGATGTAGATGAAACTTTTATGTAAACATTCTTTTATTTTTAAACTTTGATTTTAACCTAACAAAGGCGTGAATGGTTTCCAGTAGGAGAAACTCTGTAATTGGCAAGTCTAGGTAAAGGTCTATAGATAGAGAAGGACTTTGAATGCACTACCTCACACTTTTTTAAAACAACAGTGGAACAAGTGGAAGGCTCAGTCTGGCAGATCTTTCCATATAGAACCGAATAAAACTTTTCTGGTTTTCTGTTCATAAAAACAAACAAACAAATAAAAAAAAAAACAACCTTTAATGTTTGTTGACAAACATGTACAAGGCCTTAAGACAAGTCTTACTTATTATGAAATGCATATAAAATATGGTACCTTGTGTTGATAGTGAGACCAGAACGTATTGTCCCCATTTCAGAAATCTAGACTCTTATCTAAGATCATGCAGTAATTTTTTGGAGAAATAAACCTGGGGCAGTCACAAATCCCATGCCAATTGTCTAGTCTCCTTCTAGAGGCTACAGATGTGTTTGGATCTTCCCAGCATCTCCATCCCCAATACTGGGACTGTTTAACATGACATTCTGTTGTATATATTTATTTTTTCTAAATTTACCATTTCAAGAAGAAAGTTAAATGTTCATTGTGTGGGTATTCTTAAATACTTACAATCATTTATAAGCTAACACTAACAGATCACCAAATAAATTTATAGGCTACCTCCAAAATATTTGGGGCAGAGGGGAGAGGAGACCTCATTTTCCTTTTGGAAGATTGTAACATTTCCTTACTATTTGTTTGGTTTATGCCAGCAGGGAGTTGTCAGCAAGGTGTTGTTAGCCCATTGCAAAGCTGAGGATTTGTAGTAGAAAAACTGTCAGAACTTTACCTCCTACAACTGGTTGCATTTTTTTTTTTTGTGAATCTCTCTTAAAACAGAGCAGAATGTAAATTTTTTCCAACCAAATAATTTTTATAGTGCTTTTCTAGGGATTTCTTTCTGTGTGAGAGAGAATAAATGTGAACAGGCCCCATTGGTACAGCATAGATGTTTGGGTGTAGGAACACTTCCAAGAGCATGGTCAAAGTGAAGAGCTGACCCCAAATCTTACACATGGCAATGGAATGCCATAGTCAGCAAGTTCTCTAACCTCTGCACATCAGTGACAAGCCTGTTTTGTAGTTCATGTACTTTCTCATTTTAAACTTCCAAAGGTCTTGGTTCATCTCCACGTGACAGGGAAGGCTTTGAAAGTTTAGTAGTTACTGTGAAAGGTGTTTTTTTTCAGTGCTCTGTTATCTGTGCACAAGGGAGAAATCAGTTGCCTCTGCCTAAGGTGTCTGCGGATGGAAAATAAATCATGATGCTTTACTGGATGTGTAACAGGATAGCACAATACGTACCCATATTGCAATAAAGCTCACCTGCAATCAACTTGGCTGGAGTGATAGAAAAGATGAGCTATGCTAGGGGCTGATTTATATGTAGTTTCCTCTTTCTGTTTTGGGTTGGTTGGTTGGTTGGTTTGTTTTTCATAGAAATTGCATAGTTATGCTTACATTAAAAAAGCACATTCAAATAGTGGAATACATGATGACAAAAATAAGGGTACAGCAAACTGCACCCAACTGAGTAAATACTGTTCCTATCACATGGCTTACAGTAAAATAGTAATCTTTTCAGAGTGCTATGTTTTGTAGAACACACAGAACTCACAAGTTAGTCTAATAGTCTACACATAGTTAACTAAATAAAAATATCAGGATTCATATGAAGAATTCACTTTGTAAAACTGTAAGATATGGTTTGTGCAATTTAAATTATACTGATGTTTCCTTCAATAATATGTGCACCAGAGAAGTCTTATTTTGTCAAAAACTGCTGAATTTAATAGTTTGAAGAAATAAGTTCCAGCAGGGGGGTCCGTTTGTATTAGTATACATTTATTTCAAGAGTAGTGATGCAATATGAAAATCCAGTTAAATTTTTTATCGATGCAAGAAGAAATATTGGCTTTTTTTCATTGACTTGTTTCTCTTAAAAATAGAACATACTCCACATTTTTCTGGTGGGACAGTGTAGACTTCCAAATCATTCAGTATGGTTATGTCCTAACATGTGCTTCACTTGAATAAAGAAAGTGGGATCATTCTATTACGAGTCAGACAATTAAAGCACAACAATCCTGTGCATTACTGGGGCATACCTGTGAAGAATTCTTTTCTTCGCTATGTAAATCCCTGCCTTTTGTTTATGAGGGGCTGATTTGCATAATCACAGTACAGTTGTTTTTTCCATAATTGCACTGTGTATAAGAGTCACTGTGTTTTAACTGGTCCTTATACTTTCCTTCCTAATTTATCTCCAATCTACAGAAATGTTAAGCTGTTTACCAGGACAGGAAAGTCACCATTTCTGCTTTTACACTTTGCATTTTAAACACAGTAATTCCAACACCTGAAGAAAGGTATAAAATGAAGCAGATAAAACGGCACACTTCTGAAAACTGTGTTAAAAGACTTTGTAAGATACACTGATTCTTTCCCTCCTCCCTCTCACTGCTCTTCCATCTAGGCCTTTGTCTGCAGTCTAGGAAAATGTCTGCCATACCTTTACATTTACATAGCAAGAATATGGGAATGCAAGACAGGAACAGCTTTTGGCCAGAGACTTTACATGTCAGGATACTGATACTGACCAAATGCAAATAAAACAATGTCAATCAACATTAGTTTACTTAATAAGCATCTTTGTAAAAGGAAAGTGTTGTGTTTCCTTACACATCAAGAACACGTTCCTCTAGGAACAGAAGGCCTCATTCGGCCAGCAAGGTAAATGAAACAGGAAAAAAAATCCAGTATATATCTGACTAAGTAATGTCATTAACGTTATATATAATGGCATTAATGTTTATGGTTTAATATTGAATAGCCGTAATAGCTGAACACGCTGAATCCAGGGTAACGTCATTACCTCTATAATAGGAAGTTATTGCATTTTTTTAATGCTGTCTGCTTTCTTACATCGTAACTGGATGAGAAGTTACATGTCTATACCAACCTGATTCTGAAACATTCAGCTGTCTTGCAACTCTGTTTGTCCTCAGCAGCTGGTGCTTAAAATCCCTGAATTTGATTCATTGTGTACCAACTGACTGATAATCCACCAAACCAGGAGCTCAAAATTGTGTGATGATTCAGGCTAAACCCTGATGTTCTCTGCAGACTTGCTTCATGTTCTGTTTGTAGATATTCAGAGAAAGGTTTATTTTCCTCTCCTTGGCTTAGTGAATAACCGTCAAAACAAAACGGGACTGGAGGCTATAGGGTGAACTGTAATAGAAAATGTAAAAGTAACTGTAAGACTCAGGTCTGTTTACATTCTAAATAATAGCTTAGTAAGCTGAGGAACAGAGTTGTAGGTATTTTGGTAAATAAGCAAATAAAATAATTCTGGATTTATATGTTTACCCATTTAAGTTAATGTTTCAACATTCAGTAGTCATCCTAGACCCACTTCATCATTTCTTTCTCCCTCCTGCTC